GACAAGGGGGAGCCACTGGAAGTTTCCAAATAGGGAAGTGCCATGATCCTATTTGGGCTTTCGGCCCAGCTTTGGAAGCTACAGGGACAGGTTGCTGGGGGGAGACGGGGAGGCTGGAGGTAGGGAGATCACACAGAGTCAGCTGTCATGGTCGAGGTGAGAGAGGAGTAAGGCCTAAGCCAAGGTAGGAAGAGTGATGGACTTGAGAAAAATTGGGGAGGGCAAAGCAGGAGGACATGGCGAGCTCTCCGCACAGTGGCCAGAATGATCTTTCCAACAAGCACGCCTGATCATGCCAGACTGTCTGCTCAACAGTCTTGGGACAAATGAGAAACCATCTGGAAATAAAGTCGGGTCCTTATCTCACATTGTCTACTGGGATAAATTCCAAGTGGATGAAAGATTTAAAGCTTTAAAAGAAAAATGGAACTATTAACACAGGAGGGGAAAAAAAATACAGGATATATTTTTTTGTAGCCTGGTAGTGGAGAAGGACTTCCTAAACATGACTCCAAATTCAGAAGCTCTACGGGTAAGAGCCAGATAAATTACACAGAAATGTAAACAGTCTACCTAAAGGAATCATAAGCAAAGTTAAAAGACGAGTGAGAAAACGGGGAAAAATATCCACAGCTCAGATCACAAAGGGTGAACTCCCCTAATATTTATATACAAATATACAGAAATATATCTCGATTATATTGAAATAGAAATATATATAGAAATATACATAAATCTAGAAATATATTTCTATTGCATATGAATATACAGAAATATAAACAAATATATAAAGAGCTCCTAAGATACAATTTTTGAAGATTTTATTTATTTATTTATTTGAGAGCGAGAGAGAGCATGAACAGTGGGAGAGGCAGGGGGAGAGGGAGAAGCAGGCTCCCTGCTGAGAAGGACCATGAGATCAGGACCTGAGCCGAAGGCAGACACTTAACCGACTAAGCCACCCAGGCACCCCTCCTAAGATTAAATTTTGTTAAAAAGGCTAACAACACAAGGGAAAGATAAGCACATGACAGGAACACAGAGTTCAAGGAAGAGGAAATCGAATGCCAATTCAAACATGTGAATAGATGCTCCCCTTCACCCAAAGTAAGAGAAATTCAAATTAAGTCTGATTTGCTACACCATTATTTTTACTCATCAGATGGGCAAAAATTGAAAAACACCGGGAATACACTCTTTCAGGGAGGGTGTGTGGAAACAGGCACTCTTACCCACTGCCGCGGGCATTTACATTGGTATGACTTTTATGAATTGGGGAACATCCATCCAAATTATGAACACACATACTCTTTTGATTCAGCAATTCTACTTAGGGGGGATTTATTGTACTAGATACATGCACACACATGCAAATCAGCGTGGGTACAAGGTCGCATGGCACAGTGTTATTTATATTAGCCCAAGATTCGAAACAACCTAAATGTCTACCAACAGGAGACAGAATAAATAAATCACGATGTACTGGGGCACCTGGGTGGCTCAGTTGGTTAAGCGACTGCCTTCGGCTCGGGTCATGATCCTGGAGTCCCGGGATCGAGTCCCACATCGGGCTCCCTGCTCAGCAGGGGGTCTGCTTCTCCCTCTGCCCTCTTCCCTCTCGTGCTCTCTCTCTCTCATTCTCTCTCTCTCAAATAAATAAATAAAATCTTTAAAAAAAAAATTACGATGTACTGTCGTAGCCTTGTGTTACGTTTAACAGCAAGAACCCCAGAGCCATACCAGTGGGTTCAAATCCCGTGTGCGTCCCCTTACTAGCGGAGCCTCAGTTTCCCCATGTGCAAAAGGGACATAACAGCAACCCTGCCTAAGAGGACTGTGGTGGGGATGAAATGAGTTCACGTGTGCGAAGAGCTTGAAGCAATGTCTGGCACCTCCTAGTGCTCTATAAAGCCTTGCCATTTCTACTAGACTGTATTCTATCATCCACACAATGGAAGCACAAGCTGTTGTGCAAAAGAATGAGGAAGCTTCCGATGGGCTTACAGGGAGAGAAATGCTGCTAAAGAAAACAGTAACGGCAACAAAACAGTCGCGCAGTATGCTATTTGGGGATGTGTGTCTTACAGAGGAGGGAAATAAAATAGTTTTTGAATTTACTTATATGTGTGAGAAGAAACTCTGGGAGGAGATGCAAAAATCCAAAATGGCGGTTACCTATGGAGTTGTAGGAGGCACCACGTGGACGTGGGGAAGGGTGGGAAGGTGATCTGTTACAGAATGGTTTTCTGTATTTTGGAGTTTGAACTCTATAAAGGATTTACACAGGAGAGGAATCAACAGGAGAGCAAGCTGGTGTTATGCCCCTTCTTAAAACTTTCACTGGCTCTAGGGATGGAGAACACCAGGGGGTGACCCGTCCTCCCCCTGGATCTCCCTTCCCTCCTGCCACAGTGCTGTCGTACGTGTAGTTTTGTGAGGTTATAAGGGTGCACCCCCCCAATCCTACTCTTGCCTAGTGAACCCCCTACATATCCTTCAGACCTCAGCTGAAATGTCACTTCCTCAGGGAACTCTCCCCCAAACCTCCAAAGTATGTGTTAGTTTTATTCTTAGCTCTCATTAAAGCATGTTCCTTTCCTTCGGAGTACTTACCTCAGTTATAACTATATATTTATTTGTGTGATTATGTGATTCATACATGTCTCCTCTCACTACATTATAAACTCTATGAGGGAAGGGATGGTATCTGGTTTTCACCGATCAGGGCATCCCAAAGGCCAGCATAGAGCCTGGCAGAAAGAGTACGCAAATAAGTTGCTATGGTTTGAATGTCTGTGTCCCTCCAAATTCATATGATGAAATCCTAACCACCAAAGATGGATCATATTAGGGGGTGGGGCCTTTGTAAGGTGTCTTAGGTCATGAGGGTGGAGCCTCCACGAATGGGATTAGTGCCCTTATAAAAGGGGCCCCAGAGAGCTCCCTTGCCCCGTCCACCATGTGAGGATGCAGCAAGAATGGGCCAGCTAGGAATCAAGAAGAGGGTCCTCCCAAGAAGGCAGCCATGCTGGCGACTTGATCTTGGACTTCCCAGCCTCTGGAGCTGAGAACAAGAAATTGATGTTGTTTATAAGCTACCCAGTTGGTGGTATTTTGTTATAGCAGCCAGAAAAAAATAAGACATATGTGTCAGATGAATGAGTAAAATAGATGCGGGGGTAGGGGGATGATTCCCAGGTTCTAGCTGGGGTGACAGGGTGGTGCCATCTGGCAAGGACCACAAGGAGAGCAGCAGGGCTGAGGGGGAAAAAATGAGTACAGCACAGACAGGCTGAGTTTGAGGTGAGCTTGGGGCATTCAGGTGGAGATGCTGAGTAAACGACATGAAAATCTCGTAAGGCTGGGCTGCCGACAGCAATGCGGCGGCCATGACTACTCCGACTGGTGGCCGAACTGTGTGAGCATGTGACCATCTGGGGAGCAGCAGAGCAAGAGGCAAGCCCGGAACAGAACTCTGGGGAAACGAACATGTCAGGGACAGAGGCAAAATAACTGATGGAGGCGTGGGGAGTCATGGTCAGTGAGGCAGGCCCTCAAGAGCGGAGCATTCCAAAGAGGAGGGATCAACAATGTCCACTGCAGCAGAGAGCTCCGGCAGGATAAAGTCTGAGAGGGAGCCACTAGATTTGGTCAGGTAGGCGTTGTTAGTAATGGTCAGCAGTGTTATTTCTGTGAAGAGGTGGGCAGCGGGGAGAGATATCCCATGTCAGTGTTCTGAGGGAGGGGAGGTAACTGAGTAGACGGGGTCATCAAATACAGGCAAGTGCCACCCACAGTTATGTTCTGTTCCTGGGGTGATTTCAGGTGGTAAACAGGTAAACATTTCATTTTTAATAGCTATGCATTTAAAGTGTATTAAAAATACGTCACCAGTGCACTGAATCCGGGATTTTATTGAGCACAAACATATTTTAGAAAAACATATATATGTATATTTATAAATTCATATATATAGGGGCGCCTGGGTGGCTCAGTTGGTTAAGCGACTGCCTTCGGCTCAGGTCATGATCCTGGAGTCCCAGGATCGAGTCCCGCATCGGACTCCCTGCTCGGCAGGGAGTCTGCTTCTCCCTCTGCCCTCTTCCCTCTCGTGCTCTCTGTCTCTCATTCTCTCTCTCTCAAATAAATAAATAAAATCTTAAAAAAAAAAAAATTCATATATATAAATATATAGTTATAAATATATAAATGTATAAATACTTATTTATAAATATATAAAAATGTTTTTTTAAGATTTTTATTTATTTGAGAGAGAGCGGGGGAGGGGGCCAGAGAGAGAGAGGGAGAAGTAGACTCTCCACTATCCTTTTTTTTTTTTTTTTAAGATTTTATTTATTTGCGAGGGAGAGAATGAGAGACAGAGAGCATGAGAGGGAGGAGGGTCAGAGGGAGAAGCAGACTCCCTGCTGAGCAGGAAGCCCAATGTGGGACTCGATCCCGGGACTCCAGGATCATGACCTGAGCCGAAGGCAGTCGCTTAACCAACTGAGCCACCCAGGCGCCCCACAAACAAATATATTTTAGGAAAAAGAAAAATCAGTAGACTTAAGGACATATATTATATACATAATAATACAGATGGCTCTGTGGATAAGGCACAAGTTGTCATGCCCGAAGAACTGAAGTTTAGGAAATCTTGTTTGGCTAATAATCTATGAAGACGGTTAGCTGGGAAGGGAAGGTGAGAAGAGACGGTGTAGGGTCGAGAGAAACTTTCTTTTTTAGAATGGGAAGACTTCAGCATCCTTCTTGGCTGAAAAGCCAGGAGTGAAAGAAAGAGTTGAAAATCCAGGTAAATGAAACAAAAGGAAAAGAAAAGAAAACTCAAGTACACGAGTGATACTTGATGGCACGGAGTTCCAGAGGATGGGAAGGGAGGCAAGATAACCACAACACCACTTCCTCCAAGACGACAGGTAAGGATGGGAGTGGGTGAAGCAGCTTTTAGAGCAGCGGGAAATAACGGAGGGGATTCCCACCTGGAAATCTCTGTTTTCTCAGTCCTTGGTTGACGGTGGGGAGGACGGGAAGTTTGAGGTGGGTGGTAAAGGTTCAGCACATGACTTCTCAGGGCAATGGGTAGCACAGCTGACCAAAGACAGAACACAAGAGCAATGGTGTTGAGAGCACAATTATAACAGACCATGAAATTTTAGTGGCCCCAATCTGAATGACTCGAGAGGTTTCCCCCAGTAGGCCAAGGCTGGGCACTGGGACTGGACGCTGATCCCCGTGGAAAGGACGAAGGGCTGAAGCACTTTTGGGAGCTGGTGAAAGGAAAGCTCCAGTAATTGGTCATAGTGGGACGAGCTGATTGGGAAGGAGAGGAGTCCTGAAAGAGTAGAGATTCAGGTCACAAAAAGGGACATAGGGGCTAAGGATCTCAGATAGAGGAGTTTTAGGGGCAGGGGGAGGGCAAGGTCGGTTGGCTGAAGACAAAAGGACACAGAAGTCACTGCAGTGGAGAAGCCCAAACTCCGAGAAGCTGGAGTGGGACGAGTGGTCTTCACCGGAAACCTTCATGGATACTGGTGGGAGTTGTAATAGAAACGATCGAGTGCCAGGGGCCAAAGGCATTTAGGAATATGGGGGAAGCAGCCAAGGGTGGTAGTAGTGATGAAAAAAAAAAAAAGGTGGGGAGAATGGTAAAGGAGAAAGCATTTTCATCGAAGGGAGAAATGAAATACTGGTCTGGAAGAGATGGCGCGGGGAGGGGGGCCGACAGCCTATGTGGCTGAATAGGGAGAGCAGCGTCCGTTAGAGGGAGCTTCAGGCAAGAGAGAGGAGGACTAGGTATTTCTATGGAGAGCTGGTTATGTCAGTGGGGATGGGGTTCTAAAAACTATATGGTTGACCCTTGAACACCACGGGTTTGAACCGTGCAGGTCTACTTAGATGTGGATTTTTTCCTGACAAATGCAGAACAGTACCAGAAATGTGTTTTCTCTTCCTTATGATTTTCTTCATAACATTTTCTTTTCTCCAGCTTATTTTACTGTAGGAATACAGTACATAATACACACTAGGTGCTAATTGACAGTTTCTCTTACCAGTAAGGCTTCTGGTCAAGAGGAGGCTGTTAGGATTTAAATGGGGGGGGGGCATCCCTAACCTTCGCATTGTTCAAGGATCAACTGTAGTTCCAGAGAGCCAAAGGCAAGGAGCTGGGAGGAGAGGAAACAGAAATTAAAAGACAGGCTGGAGGAAGAACAGAACAGTGGGGGGTAAAAAGGATGTCTTGTTTCCTACGACGGTGCCAGAAGACCACAGAAACCAAGGGGGAATGGGATCCCACTGAGCACCACCCAGTCACCCCCAAGCCACAGAAAGCAGCGGGACCTTGCCTTTCAGGAGAACAGGGCTCCTGGCCGTGGGAGGTATCTACAGGAGAGCTGTCTTGCTTTGGGCAAACACTCCAACGTCAGTTATGTCTGGAAAATTACAAGACTTCTAGGAAAGAGAATCTCCCAACCCCTCAGCTGTTTTGACTTACGGGGAGTCATCTCCCCACTGCTCACTCTGGATGGATTCGCCCTCTGCAAGGCCCAGGTCCGAGGTTCGGGGCCAAAGGTGAAACCCGCCTTAGGAAAGCTAGCCTTTTCTCGAAGCGTGCGTAATTTCCCCCAAGCGAACAGCAGATGACAGCAAAGAGCCACAAAGGAAGCGGAGGCTTTACAAGGGCCCAGAAATGGTAACAAATAAACCGGATTATGTTCCCCTAGTGCCCTCGGTCGCACTTAATCCCGCTGTATTACAAGTACAATGCTCCCGTCCCCCCCTAGACAGGGACTCCCTGTGGCAGGGAATCTCTGATCCCGTGGTGCGAATGCTGGACACGTAGTAGGGGTTCAACAAAGACACCGTGGGGGCGGCTGGCTGGAGGGGAGACTCCCAACCGGATGTGGTTAGGAGACAGGCACCTGCCTTTTAGGACAACAAGGCACGTGGGGAAAAGCACTGGTCTGAGAGGGAAGGCTTTGAATCCTGGCTCCGCTCCTTAAGGCTGGGAGCTCGCGGTACCTCACATTTCTGAGCCCTGGTTTTCTCCTCTGTCGAAGGGGCATCTGCCACCAGGGCTGGTTATGATGAGAAGACGCACAGAACAGCCTAGCAAAGTATCTCGCACACAGGCAACACTCAAGACAAAGCTGGTGTTTACTGTGGTTATAGTTACTGTTAGAGTTTTTACAGACGTACCAGAGGAGAGAGGAAAGAATCACGAACAGTGAGAAATAAATTGGAATGAAACCTTGGAATCTCTACTTCCCCCGCCTGGTTCCCCCCAAACGGTGCAGCAATAGATCAAACACAAGGCCGCAGTGGCCTCTGTCACTTCTGGAAGCTGCAGCTTCCCAGATTGTGGGGTTCTGTGGGGGGGTGGGGTGGAGGGGGCAGTGGGGATGGCTACTTGGTATTTCCCATGTCAGAACAGTCCAGCTCGGCTACCTAACAGATTTTTATGGGCACCTCAGAGCACAGATAGGTTTGACTAAGAGCCACGCACCTTTGTCCAGAACTTGGTGGTCCAGCAAGGGGGGGGGGGCTGTCTGGAGCTCGAGACAGTGGCCTGCCCGGTTCTATTCAGAAAGCATGTATCCCCCAGACTTCGATATTATTAGAAGCTGTTTCCTGCGCCACAGGAGACAGACCTGAAAACTGGCCCACGGCTCCTGGATAGTGAGACGTTCCTTAAAGCTTAGACGGGGGAACAGTGCCTTTAGAGCAAATTAAAAGGAAGTGTTCTCTGACGTGGTGAGACCCCAAGTGGCTGCACAGGGTAAAAACAGCCTCAAAGAACACAGACAAACCCTAAGAACGCTGACAGAAACCAGGGCACAGGGGGCCAATCTCTCCACTGGCAAATCTCGAGAACTTCTGGCCTAAGCCAGCCTCAAGGACCAGAAATGAAGCCCTTGCTGCTTGAACTGAGGTGGGGGGCGGCCTCCCTGAAAAGCCCCAGCAACCAACATAGAGAGGCTAGTAGCTGAGACTAGAAGGGGAGGCCTTCCAGGTACAGGCCTTTCAGGAAGGTTAGAGCCCTGAGAGGGAGGCCTCTGACAACTCTTCTAGAAGGGATGGGAACTCCCCTTTTATCTACCGTATAATAGAGGAGGGAGGGGATACTTCAAGGGTCACTGTGAGGTCACAAAGAGTTCAGTCAGTTTCCTTCCTAGGCTGTCTCTACCAAGTTGGTGGTCTCTCCCTTGTGACAAAAGCAAGGTCATCAATGGTTTATTTTACCAGGTGATCGCTGTTCTCTTACCTGCTTCTTCCTTCCATCCTATAACCCCACAGTCCCTGAACTTCTTGCCCATCTCAATATCTTCTTTGGTTCTGAGAGGATGGATATAATGAGCAAGGGCACAAGGTCCCTCTCTTGAGAGGGCTGGGGGCTTCCATCTCTCCTTCTACCCTGTGCTGCACACTGAGGCAGGGGGAAGGCTCAGCACGAGCGAGTGACAGTGTGTGTGTGGGAGGGGGGGCTCCATGCAAACCCAATGCCACCACAGACAATGAGCCCAAGGCCTAGGCCCTAGGACACAGAGTTAGTGGCACCGTGCTCGCCCACAAAGGATGGTTCTGAAAAGCCCCCCAGACTCTTTGCAGGCCTTATCAGTGCCCATCTCCCCACCCCCGGCGTGTGGCATAAGACATCCTGCAGCCAGCCAGCCAGGCAGGAGCCCAAGATCCTGACAGACACCCAACAGACTGCCATCCCCCCAAACAGAAGGGCACGGCGAGGTGTGGCAGGGGCACAAAGGTATGGTTCACTGGTCTTACCTCCTTTCCAAAGCAGGTAGATGGGTACCACGTATAGCATAACATGCTGAATGTAGTAAACCTCCAGTTCGAAGGGGAGCTGTAAGGACAGGACAGGGAGAGGTGTTTCAGAGCAGGAAGCACTCATGTCAATGGCTTCTGAAGCGAAACGCCCTTGTTCTTTGGGACCCACATCGTAACCCCCTCCCATGTGTTTCCGGGGCTCACCTCCCTTCACAATAAGGGAGAAAAAGAATGGAAGGGACAGACACTTAGGACCTAGGCTGGCAGCTTCCAAAGCAGGGATGGTGCTTAAAGAATGTTCCACGAAGAAAGCTAGTTACAGTGGAAGAAATGTTACATCGACTAGATCCCCCTGGAGAGTCATCATGTATCCTGGTGGTATAGTGAGGATCTGGGTGGTCTCTGCAACTACAAAACCTGCTTAAAATGGTTTATCTAGTGTTTCCCAAACTTAGTGAGCCAGTGCCTTTTTTTTTTTTTAAAGATTTATTTATTTATTTATTTATTTATTTATTTATTTGACAGAGAGAGACAGCGAGAGAGGGAACACAAGCAGGGGGAGTGGGAGAGGGAGAAGCAGGCTCCCCACCAAGCAGGGAGCCCGATGTGGGGCTCGATCCCAGGACCCTGGAATCATGGCCTCAGCTGAAGGCAGACGCCCAACGACTGAGCCACCCAGGCGCCCCTTCTTTTTTGTTCACATAACCCTCAGTAGTGTATGGGATATACTTGAAGAAACACAACCTGATGTCACTTCTTCCTCCTGTTGAGAAGGCGGTGGGCGGTCTAAAAGCTTATTTCTCAGCTGACATGAAGAACATGTGTAGTAGGATTTCTTATTCCCATTTTCTGGATTAAAAAAAAAAAAGTAGTTTCTAGGTCTGGCTTGGTCTAGATCCAAGAATAGTTTCCCTGCTAGATATTTGGGGTCGGTCCAGAGTTAGCCCTACTTTTGGGTGAAGACCAAGCAGCTGGGCCAATTCTGACAAAGGCTTGCCAAAGAGAGCAGCCCCACCCTCCCTCTCCCTCTGACACTCGGGCTCACTCGCTGCAGCTTTCTGACTCTCTCAAAATGGAAGCTCCAGATTCCTGAAGCAGAGCGTGGTTTCCACCTGGCACGGTGGACCGTGCCACAGAGTTTGGCAGAGGGCAAGGAATGGAAACAGCTGGATGGCCAACTCAATTCTAGAGAAAAAAAAAAAACTTTAGCAACTGGCACAAGGCCTGGCCTCTGGGGCTTCCACGGCCCCCAACACACACACACACACACACACACACACACACACACACACCCCTAAAGGGAAGCCCAGAGCGACAAGGACACCCGGGGGAAGGGTCAGCTGCCTCCCTGTTCCCTACAAGGCAAGCACAGAACCAAGACTTTGTGCTAACAACAGCCCAAGTCTGCCTTGTGCCAAGGGCTGGAACCAAAAGATGGCAGAGCGCCCAGAATGGGGGCTGGGATGACTGTGGACCCTGGAAAGAGACGCTGGTTCTGGCCCTTGAAAAGAAAAGCCCACACAGAAGGAAAATTTCCCACGGACCCAGACAGGGCTCAACTACTATTTTACACTCACAGAGGGACGTAAAATCCCCCCAAAAGAGACGAGGTTCTACATGGCTCCACAGACCATGCTGGAATTGATGGAAAAGGCTTTGACAGTGGACATCACTAGCATGAGCTTTGGAGGCCTCGGAGGCCCGTATTGGAGACTCACAGTAAGAGGGTCTGGGCTCACCCTCTCATCTGGAATTGGGGACTGCTTCATGCTTTTTCAACTGTTTCCAGATCCATGAGCCACTGATGCCTCTCAAAAACCCCGTGAGGTAGGCAGGCCAAGTATCCTTATCCTTCTTTGACAGATGAGGAAACTGAGGTGCAGAAGGGTTAACTAGCTTGACTGTGGTCACCCAGAAAACAGGCAAGGAGGAAAAGGTCCCAGGAAGAAGGTTCAGCCCTCTGGCTGTAATCCGAATCTTTGGCCACCTAAGGGACTTGACCTCTCCCTGGAACAGGCCTGGGGAGCCAGGCAGCTGTCCCCCAGCACGGAGTCAGCCATGTCCTCAAGCAGGACCTCTGCTCACCTCCTGGACCCTAGCTGCTGTTCATCCCCTGGACTCTCAGCGCCTGCTTGCTTCTCCCTCCGTTCCAGGTCTCCTGGCCTCCTGGCCTCCTGGAAACCACACTCCTCACCTGCATGTCCAGGGAGGCAGTTTAGCACTGCGGCTATGAGCCACAATTTGGGAGTCTGTCAAATCTGTGTTTCTAGATTTCATTATGCCCTTAATAGCCCTGTGGACTCCAGCAAGTCACTTAACCTCTCCACCTATTTCAGCACCAGTAAAATGAAAAGAATTACACTGTTCTAAGATTGTTGTATTTTTTTTTTTTTAATTTTTAGAGGTCTTTTTTTAAGACTTTATGTGTCAGAGAGAGAGTGAGCACAAGCAGGGCGAGTGGCAGGCAGAGGGAGAAGCAGGCTCCCCGCTGAGCAGAGAGACAGATGCGGGACTCGATCGCAGGACCCTGGGATCACGACCTGAGCGGAAACCAGATGCTTAACTGACTGAGCCACCCAGGTGTCTCAATTTTTTAAAAAATTTTTAATATAACACACATGCATACAGTACTTATATGCCTAGAATTAGTAAGCACTTTCTTCACTATCAATTCACCCAGTCCTCATAACAACCGTGCTGTTCCAATTATCTCCAGATATGAGAAACTGAGGCACAGAGAGGTTTGCGGACTAAGTACACGCAGCTCATGTGGTAACAGAGCCAGAATCCAACCCCAGGCGGTCTGGCTCTAGAGTTTATAGTATCAGCTGGTACCCTACACTACCCTCCTGTTCCCCTCTCTCCTAAAGAAGCATGACACGGCTCTGCTCAGTGGGTATGTGGTAACCCTCCACATGGGAACTGGGCCCAGCCCTTCCCTGTTCACACACGCCTCACCTTCGCGGCCTGCTCTGGTCCACTGTGAGCCCAGGCCCCCATACCATGCAGTGGCTAGACCTGGCCGACAACACAGGCCTCTCAACTCCCGAGGCTCTTGGCACTAGCCTTCTGTGACTTTCTAGGCACCCTGGTCACAAATCTTAGGGTGGCTGGGAGGCTGCCCCCCCCCAGAAACATTTTCCTTCCTCGGAGGGCTGCCTCACCCCCTATTTCAAGAGTTCCCCACCTCTGAAGGGCCATGGAGAGTGTAAAACTAGGTGTGGGCACCGCCGACAGCCCCAGCCAGAGAGGAGAAAGGGGATAGAGGCAAAGGACGAAGTGTGTGTGTTGGGGGGGGGGGGAGGGCAACTGGGAGAGGAAGGGAGGGAGGAGATGAAAGAGAAGAGGGCAGCGTAAGAGAAAAAAAAACACCCAAGTGGCAGGAAGAAGGGAGTGGAATGGGAGCAAGAATCAACCCCTTGTCATTTCGTAACAATGCTTACTAAGTACTTATGTGTCATGCGCTGGGTTACACACTTTTACAGGTACTATCACACTTAACCATTACAAGTCGCTGTGAAGCAAGAACAATGGTCATCCCCATTTGACAGATAAGGAAACTGAGCCACAGAGCTGTGAAATGACATCCAAATAAGAGACGGGGCAGGGCGCCTGGGCGGCTCAGTCAGTTGAATGTCTGGCTCTTGGTTTCAGCTCAGGTCATCTCAGGGTGGTGGAATCGAGCCCCACGGCAGGCTCCATGCTCAGCTTGGGGTCTGCTTCAAATTCTCTCTCCCTCTCCCTCTGCCCCTCCTCCCACTCGAACACACTCTCTGTCTCAAATAAATAAAATCTTTAAAAAAAAAAAAAAAACGAAGAAGAGACGGGGCAAGGACAGGGGTAAAGGACATTCAGCATTGAAGAAGAAAACGGGTAGTTTTCTTTACTGAGCACTGGATCTGTCCTGAATCCCCAAAACTTTCTCAGAGCCTCCACCACCCTCTTTTCCCCATTTTCACAAACACGATCTGGAAAGTGCCATACTTGCCCCAGGAGTTCCGCTTCGCTGATTCATTTCTGCCCTACAGAGCTCACATCTGGAATGCTACTCCAACGTACCTATCCTGGTGCCTTTTTAGCTGGAAGATTCCTGAGGCTTTAGACCAAAAGTCCTACCATCACAGCAATTGAAAAACAAAAATCACTAAAAATGTTTTAAACTACACAGGTCATTAGCTTCCTTCTCACACCCAAGTCAACATCCTTTTTTTTATCCGAAGAGTAGACTGATAAACCCCAGCAGGCCTCTAGGCTCAGACTGCCTAAAACATGACGGGCATGGACTCTGTCCATGGCCAGAGTATGACCTCCTTTGTCCCAGTGCGCAACCCTGCCAGCTGCACCACCATGCTTTGCCATGGAGACAAGCAATCCCATTGTGCCCTCCATCCCTGGTCACCTCAGTCACTATAAGAAGCCCCAAACTCTGGGGTACCTGGGTGGCTCAGTTGGTTAAACACCCGACTCATGGTTTCGGCTCAAGTTGTGATCTCGGGATCGTGGGATCGGGCCCCGAGTCTGACTCCATGCTCAGCATGGAGTCTGCTTGGGATTCTCTCCCTCCCCTCCCCCTCTGTCCCTCCCCTGCCTTGTGTGTGTACTTGTTGTGCTCTAAATAAATCAATAAAATCTTAAAAAAAAAAAAAAAAAAGAAGCCCTAAACTCCCAGGTCACCACCCAACACCTGAATTCTAATCCCCCCTAATCTGACCTCATCTGCCACCTTCCCTCAATTCTAGAAACTTGGGCAGCTACCCTCTGGAACCCACTGACTCTTCATTAGCAAAATCCCCTGTATCCTCAAACTGTCCCCTGAACGATCCCTTCACCTTCTTGCTTTAATGAAAACCTGGTTCCCTTCCCCTCTGAGGATGCTGCCATCCCTACAGCCCTCTCAGGTGCCGGGTGGTTTGCCTGCCATGTTGCCTTGTGCCACGGGGCCAGGAGGGGTCCTGTCTGCTCCCCTCTGCTGCTTCTACATTGCTGGCGCTTCCATGACCATTCTCTCGGCTTCCTTCCTCACCATTCCCCTGATTTCAATCTCCTGCCCTTGGCCTCCGCCACCTGCCACTCTGT